CTACATATGTAAATCATGATATAATTATATTGTGTAAATTACCAATATTTACATATTGCTTCGTCAGCAAAATATTTTAGTTATTGCATTGTTGACCAAGCATTTTTAAAATAAAACACGTGTTTGCGTTTAAAATCGATGATATTCCAAAATAATAATATGTATGTATGTATGTGATTGGTTCACACAAAATATTGCGTATATGTAGCTCTATAAAGCGGTAGCTATCTGATACGAGAATCAATAACAAGTGTAGCCTCTATACACATGTGCAGAGTATTTGATATTTAACACAATATATGGTTTTTATGGTTTTAAGTTTCAACCAATCACAAGTCAAACACTTTGAGCATGTTCCGTATTGGAACCAATTGATTTGGATTTTTTGGCAATTAATGCGTTTGTCTCTGAAAATTTTCTATAAAATACAATTACATGCGGAATTGACTAAAGCTACGATTAGAAAACAGACAACATGAAGGTTGTTCTGGTGTCATCGCTAGTAATTTTACTAGGGTTGACTTGTAACGGCATTCGATTGCAACACGACCTGACCAAGAAAGATGTAGGCCTATATTCTGACGAAATCAATGTAAGTACAGTATAGCAATGATAGATTTAGCTATAAACGAATTCAGATATAATTTTTCAATAATATAGTATTAGCCATATCCCATATAACTCATATAAATAGAATGTTTCACTTATAATTAATTTGCGATGTTTGCACGTACTTTAGCTTGTTTGTGTATAAACAATTAAAATCTTTGATGTTTCACTAATTTCTACTGCATTTTTATTTTATATTAGTATTTTCCTTTTGCAATTTCTTCGTACCATTGTTTGCCTTACGTTTTCAGTAATTTTTCGACACTATTAATTCTTTTCTAAATATTTTCAAATCTTAATTTTAAAGAGTGTGCTATTAATTAAGTTGTAGATAATTTAAATATTATCGATAAAACAACTATAGTCAAAATAATTTAAAATAGACGCCATGGGAGGGGATTGACTGTTACTTTTTGTGGGTCTTACTATTGGGGTTTATTTTTTTTAATTTTTGGAAAAAGAAACTTTTCATAGCATGATGATGACTTACATTGAGGTACGTTTATTCAATCTTTCAGTAAAATGATAGGCCTACATTGCAGGACATGGCTGAATTGCGTATGAATTAACAAAAGTTAAGAATATAATATATAAAAAACCGCATATGAATTGACAACTAAAAGAAATAAAGAATATGACATCAAAAATTGAAGGAAAAAATGAAAAATGAAAAATTAATCTAATCCAGTGGTTCCCAACCTGGAGGTCCACGAAAAATAATTCAAGTCAAAGGGGTCCGTAGGGGGTCTGCGAAAAATGTTGGGGGGTCCGCAAAAATGTTTGGGGATCCGCTAGATTATTAGAACAACTTTTTTTTATGATTCAATTATTTTTTTTTTGTCTTAAAATAGTGTGATCATACCTTGACAATAATGAAATACTTTTCACTTGGTAATTTCAAAATGTTGCCTCTGTGTATTGGATTTTTAACTATTCAATATAAAAACATAAAAATTAGTAAATCCTTCCTTTTCGTCAAGAGTCACTGCGCCTCGGAATAGTTCGCTAGATAGGCGGCGCACTATAAATCTGTTTTATTATTATTATTATTATTAAATCTCTTTGACAGGCATGACTTCGTTCACTGTAAATTGTTTTAATAGGCATTATATTTTAATTTTCATTGTAAATTTTATTGTATTCGCTATGTAAAGATGTTTAGTATAGGAGAGCCATTTGATAGTGGCAATCCTCAGGTAAAGTACATCTTTTTTCCTTGTTTTCTCTTGTATTGCTTTTACCTGGGTATTGAATAAATTTTAAAAAGCAGGAGGGAATCCTAAATTTGACAAAATTAAAAGTAAATGGGTGATAACAGAATATTACATGCCAATTTTGAATAGTGTCATATCCGGCCATCTACAAATGCCATAAAACATTAAAAAAATTGAAAATCCATTATCTGTAAAATTTACTGTCTGTACCGTCCCCTCCTCTCTATGTCAAATTCCAAGATCCAAGATGTCGTAATTTGGCGAATCATTTTTTATCCATAATATTAATGGCGGAATACCAATGAGTCGCCCTAAATTTTACACATTAAAAATTAAATGGAGGATGGGAATAAAAGAATATTACCTTCAAATTTTGAGTCTGACAGTGCCATTTCCGGCCATCTAGAAGTGGCATAGACTATCTGTAGGCCTAATGTTATTGTTGGGATAAGGACACTGGGTGCTATTTAGACATGGGGTTCGTGAAGATTTTGGCATGTCCAGAGAGATCCGCAAATGCAAAATGGTTGGGAACCACTGACCTAATCTATGACAATTAATTGATTTTTTGCTTTTGCCTTGTCACAATTTAAACTATACAATCCATTTGTCAACTTATCAATCAATTAATCAATTAATGTTCAAATTTAATATTATTTCTTTTATTATTATTTCTGAAATAGCGGCCCAGCAGCATTCTGGTGAGGTCATGCTAGGCGCGATGAAACTGCCATAATTCCTTTTAGTAATAGGCCTACAGTATTAGCATTTATTTAGTAGTGGTGCATCCTTAATAAATGCAATTATTATTTGTTTCCATTGTAGCTACAAACCGTGTTAATTTTGAACATCGTATAAACTACTTTTTTTCAGTCTGGCACACTATTTTAAAAATTTAGTTGATTTTTTTTTTTTTACAGAAAATGATTCTTGATTATTTGAAGATGAAAGAAGACAACAAAATTTGTAAGTAATACAACTTAATATATGTTACGGTATGCAAAATACATCAACGTGGCAGAAAAAGTAATAGGCATAAAATATTCAATATTCTGTTTGCATTTTAAGCAATACACACAATTCTGTTACCAATAATTATAAAATGTGATATAATAAATTTAATAATGCAAGCAATAATAATAATTAGGCCTAGGCCTATTATTTTTATAATAGTAATAATGGTAATGAAAATAACAATAATTATTATAACAACATATATATTGTTATAATAAATAATAATTATTAGTGGTAACAGAATTGTGTGTATTGCTTAAAATGTTAACGTATAATCTATGCCAAATCTATTCTTAAACTCCAGTGATGAATTGTAATTCACGTGTAAATATCAATTCACTTATTTTTGCAGTTGAAAGAGACGTGTCCGATGGTGGTTCAGACATAGACGAAAATGGATCGGGTAAATACTACTTTAATATAAAGCCTGATTTTATTTAACATTAATACCTTGCATTGTAGCCCTGTAAAAACAGCAAGGATGATTTAATCGCGAATTAGAGCTACATGCAACCTTAATGTCCAGATTGTGTTTCTCACTGTTGGGGATTTTTTAAAAGCCGACAGCAGGTTTCGCCAAAATGTTTTACTCTACCAGCAAGTCAACCTTTTTTCGTATTTTTAGCTAATCCAAGGTTGACTATGTATCTGCAGAGATATAATATTTCCATTTCCTTAGAGATTTATTTTGTACTTCGGGTTTAAGTTTCTGAGCATGGAAGATGAATAGCATCATAATACAGTGGCCGAATAGGAACATAATTGTAATCATCGTTTCAAGCATAGATCATCAACGAAACATTCCTTTATAGCAGCATGTGATAGTGATCCATGTCAACATAATGGACTTTGTACCGTTGATGAGCCGTCCAATGGATATACCTGCAACTGCACACACACTGGCTATACCGGTAACACGTGCGAATTTGGTAAGATACTTCTGTTTATCTTTTATAAAGCACTGTTTAAACAACCCCTCTTCCAAACCTAGTTTTAGCGTTTTCAATGTCAATACTTTTAAGCGTCAAAACATTATTATTCCTATTTTTGTCATTGCTATTATTATTATTATTCTTATTCTTACTTTTGTACAATTTATTAAATGAAGACGGTTATGCCTATATCTTTCTATAACAAACGAAAGCATAGTTATAATAGTATAGACTTATGTAAGAATTGGCGAGGTTGCTGAGAGATTCCAATTTTGAAATGTCCACACCAATTCTTGCATATTCACAGCATGGGCGGATCAAGTACCCCGTGCACCCACCCCCGTTTTGCCACCAAATTTTTAAAATTCAATGCATATTAATGTTATGTGCTACTCACTATCTTATCTATTCTGAAACTGTTGTGCATCCCCCCCCCCCTCCCCAACCCTTTTGAAAAATTCTATATCCGCCCCTGCAGCAGACACATGTAAGAATTCTGAACCATGTCAAAACGAGGGAGTTTGTTACAATAATGATTCAGAACTAGGATTCTACTGTAAATTGTTCTACTGGGGCCTTACACTGGAACCTCTGTGAGATCCGTATGTTATTATATTGTTTCTTTTTCATTTAATGTATATTAACTGACACTTATGTCGAGAATTTTGGACGAGTTTAGGCTTGATATTATCTATTATAAAATGATGGTTGTGAGGAAGAACTTTTATCCTAATTTTGGTATGTAAACCAACGTGTTAGACAATATAGACCTTATAATCTAAAAAAATAGTGTGTATATATATAATTAAGCTATCGTAAGATAAACCAATCAGAAAACAAAATAAACCAACATGGCCATCAGAGGACTAAAAAACCTCAATTGATTACATTAACTTTTGATATCAAACCTTCTGACCACCAAAAGTAAGTCGTGGCAAAAGTTTGAGAGTGTAAATGCCAAGTCTGTAACAGATGAAAATATGTAACAAATGGGTAAGGCCAAAAAGAGAAAGTGTGACCTTAACACATCATTCGTAATTGCTTCTTTTTCAGTTCTTCTTTCGTGCTTAGTGAACCCATGTTTAAATGGTGGAACCTGCACAGACAGTCTATGCCAATGTCCAGATGGATTTTATGGAACCTTGTGTGAAAAAAGTATGTTAAAGCCATTTTATAATTGAACTGTGTATAGTTATTTCTATTACAAACAAGTATACATCGGAATTAACGACTAATACGTATAATGATTAGGAGGAAAAAACCACTGTAGGATGGTGTGGCATTCGTATGGGTCATGCCCGTACAAAAACATGTGCTGGTTTACCAACTATATATCCATGGTGACCAGGGAAATACTGATGCCAGCGCCTTTGTATAGGCCTATTCTCCAGAA